CTGCGTTGATCTGGCTGAAACTCATCTCTCGCAAATCTTCCGGAGGGTGAATGTCCCATGCTTTCACATTGCCTCTCACTTGCATCCGTAGGTATGATGATGTCAATGGAAGCTTCGGCTCTGCTGATGCAAGATGGAAAGGTCGGAGTTCAATCTTCACTCCTTTGACTTGGATCAGGTCCTTGAAGAACTCCTTGAAGAGGCTCATGAGCATAGGATTGTCCAGCCAGTGAACATAGTCGATCTTCCTTCTTGCTGCTTCATTGAAGACACCCATAGTGGCATTGATGGTTTCGAGGAGGAGCTTCTTGAGCATGTGTGTAGTCGGCACGGAGAGCGCTTTGCTTGGGAGGTTCTTGATCTCCACGCCCTCATAGAGCTCCGCCTCGGCTTCTTGCTTCCACTTCTTCATGGCATCCATTTCAGCTTCAAGCTTCTTCTTTCTTCGTGGATTTTCTTCGGATGGCCATCGTCCATGTCGACACTGTCCAGGCACCAAAGTGTGCTCGATGTTGCGAGGACAATGACGTCCGAGCTGACATCGGACACAATCATAGTAGTGACCAAGCGTCACTGCGTAGGCATCCTGTGGCCAAGTCTTCAGCTTGAGCAGGTTCATGTAGGACAGGTACTGGATGATGTCCTGCTTCATGCGCTGGCACATTCCTTTTGGGTAGACTGCTGACATCGAAGTCCTGGTCAGACCAGAATGGCCTGTGCCTTTGAGCTGAGTATGTGGAACACCGCAATGACCTCCGCATCGAAGTCCAGTGTGCTTCCAACGAATGTTGGATCCAAAGCCAGTGGGCTTCATGATGGGGTAGCCGTGTTCATCTTGAGCTCCATGCATGCACTGGTCCACTCTCTGTCTGCTCTTATTGCCAGGAATTCGTTGCCGTCGTAGAGGATTCTCTGGAAGTTCTTGCCATGATTGTGCTCCATAAGGTTGTTCTATGTTGTAGCCACGGCCATTGGCGTCTTGTCGTGCAGAAAGATCTTGACATAGTTGTAGGGCAGGTCGATCTTGGAGACGTTCACACATCTTCTCATCAGGATCTTTTGTAGATGCCGCAACTGACCATGGTGCACAGTCCGGAAACATATGAAGCACTCCAGGTTGGAACTCTTCGTAAGCTGCGCGGATCATACCACGATGGCTTGCTACTCGCATGTCCCAGCCGTACCGGTAGTCGACGGGGAAGCCAACCATGAGTCCGGCAAGAAGCAACGTCAGCGACAATCTTCCACTGCCACTGAACAGCTCGCAGAAGTGCCATCGCAATCCTCGTCCTCGAACTCTCTTGAACCAGCTGTCAAAGTTCTTGGGAGTCACCGGCGTCAATCCGCTCTTAGTGTAGAACTCCTCAGGGATTGCCTTGTAGCGCTTCTTCAACTTGGCCTGATCTGCCGTCTCGGGGATCATGTCGCCAGTGTAGCTGAGGAAGACGTTCTTCTCTTCATCATAGCTTGCCTCACGTAGGCCTTGTTCATCATGAATTGCCGGGGCCAAAATGGCAGGTCCGGCAGGGTGCTCGTTGATCAAGTGGTTTGAATTCTTCGCAGGCTCTTTGCTCTTGTCGTTCTTCATGCACTGCTCTGCCAAAATGGCTGATGGTGAAACTTCGTCCTCGGAGTCGCGCTCTTCTGCAATTGGTGATAGGCTTTTGTTCTTCTCGCTGTTCATGAGGTCGTAGGGCTCCTCGGACTTCTTCTGCTGTTCCTCATCGATGAAGTGAATCTTCCTGGAAGGAACAGGATTACGTAGTTCATCTTCTTCTCCATTCTCGCAAGCCAAATGATCACAACCAACATCATGACCTTGGCTCTTCATTGGATCTTTGTCTCGTTCATGATCACGATTGTAATCACACCGGTCATCCTCTGCCGCCGTCTGGGAATGGAAGCAGTGTCTGACCCGTGGTTGCACGTCAGGCCAAACTTTCGAAGTGATCTCGGTGATCTTCTGGAAGAAAGCAATGGCCTCGTGCTTGGAAGCTCTTGGAACCTTCTCGTTCTGAACGTTGTCACAAGGCAGGATGTAATGTCCAGAATCTGTGAGCAGGATCCTAAAGAACTTCACGTGATTGACCTCTGCATCCATGGCGTCCTTGGTGTTCAGAACAAGCATGCCATCACCATTCTCGAACCAATCTGTCAAGATTGATGCACCCAATCGACGAAGAGTCGGGTTGCCCACCAATGCTGGGCATAGGCTTCCGGCTCCACCGATGACCTCCGCCGTGTAGGTGATGAGTTGTCCTGCGGTCGCCATGGTCAACGTGACCTCTCCGAGAGTTGGTAGCTCATCTGTGTCTCTTCTTTCTTCATGTTGAAGACCATGAAGTTCATCTTGAGCTTCTTGTCATAGTGATCCTTCGTAGTATACTCAGGCTGACCTGAATATCCATCCGTTGGCTTCTTGAAGTCCTCATCCTCGGATGACGTGTGGATCACGAAGCTCTCGGCCCTCTTGGCCGTCTTGACCTCCTTGGAGCTTGTGGCAACTTCTTGCGGAGTTGAGGCATCAGGAATGCCTTCACTGATCGACAGACCACCACGAGGCTTGTAGTTGTCCTCCTCCTGGTAGGCGTAGTAGTGGCCTTTTCGACCAAAGCCTTTTCCTTTTCCTTTGCCTTTGCTTCTCCAAGGATACTTGCTCTTGACTTTGCTCTTTCCTTTGAAGTTGGGTCGCCATCTCCAGAAGCCTTTTGACTTTCCTTTTCCTTTGTAGTTGTGGCTGCCCTTCTTGTTCTTGCCCTTGCCAAGTGGACAATCTCGAACTCTGTGGAACTTGCTGCCACAGTTGAAGCAGCCGTCATCACTGCCATTGCCTTTTCCTTTGTAGTAGGCTTCGTTGTACTCGCCCGAGACATTGGACATGACTCATCGCTGGCATCATGGTTCTCATAGTAGGTCTCATCGTTGGCGTACTCCTCATAGACCCATTCACCTTCATTGGCCTCTTCATAGCCATACCACCATGAATCCTCGGCCTCATAGTCATCGCCCCAGTCCTGGTAGTAGGCGTCGTAGTCGCCATAGGACTCATCGTTCTCTTCATAGAGGATCTGAGCGTCATCAGGTTCTCGCCGATTAGGGTTGATGCGCAATGCCAGAGCTCGAGCGTCGTTGAAGCGGGTGTAGTCGCCAGCAACCTGCAGTTTGATGTCATCAACCGTCTTGGATGGCAAGCCATAGTTCTTGAACCATAAGAAGAACTTGCCGACATCGTTCAGCTGCAGTCCAGCTCTGTCATGAGCATCATCGTACCGGCTGTCGAACTCGACGCTGTATTCGGACAGGCTGAGCTTTCCTCTTGCAAGGCCAAAGAACTTGTCCAGGGCTTGTGTCGCCAGATCTTGGTCTTGCTGACCGAATGCCGTGCGGAGTGCGTTGGCCAGGAATTGCACTCCTGAGGGGATGTGGTTCTGGATGATCGCATTGGTCGCTGGGTCGCGGACTTCATCCACAGCTAGTCGAACCAGCGCTGCATCGCCGACATCGAAGGTGCCGTCTGGCCTTGGCACTCTCAAAGACATGGCGATCGTGGATGCTCGACCATAGAGTCGTCCAGCCACCAGTGGACCGATGGCTTCATCCTCCACATTGGCAATCCGGTACCAGAGCTTCAGCTTGTCGAAGTAGGTCCTCAAGGGATACGAAGCATCACCTGGAATCCAGCCCGGCGGAATGTCCCGCCGATACTCCTGGAGCGGAATGCTCCCAGAGCTTGGTGGATTCATAGTCCAGCAATCTTGTAATCGATGGAGTCCACGGGGCCTGTGTTCCTCTTGGGTTCAACCCCAAGTGAGGTAGTTTTCTGTGTCCTAGTCAGAGCCTTCTGACTTTCTCTTGCCACCGACCGAGCAGGATCTCGATCTCCTCCTCCAAAGGCCCTGCAGACCAGAGCCTACCGCGCAACCCGCGGTAGCAGCCAAGCCGAGCGCAAGCAGCCTATGGCGGCGCTGGAAGGATCGGCAACGGAGCACTAGGCTCCGCTACCAAACTCGACAGATTTGTGCCCAAGGCGCCTGCGGTATCGTGTCATGTGAAACAGTTCTACACTTGATCATAGCCATAAGGCCGTGAGGCATGTCTGCACAATTTCACTGTATGTATGTATGTATGTATGTATGTATGTATGTATGTATGTATGTATATGTCAATGTCAATGTCATGTCATGTCATGTGACGTGATGTCATGCCATGTCATGTATGTATGCATGTAATGTATGTACTGTATGCAATGTATATATGTAATGTATGTTATGTCATGTTATGTTATGTGATGTTATGTCATGTCATGTCATGCCATGTCATGTCAAATATGTATGTATGAATGGATGGATGGGTGGATGGATGAAGCCTAAATCCAAAAACCCTAAGCCATATACCCTAAACGCATAATTGTTGAATGCAAATTGAATCCATGGACCCTAAAAACTCAGCTTCCACCAAACAGACTCGTGCATCCCTTGCCTAAGTCTTATGTACGCATGTATGTATGTAAGTTAGTAAGTTATGTATGTCTGTCTGTATGGGTGTTGCAACACATGGAGTGATGTGGACCTGTGGATGTTGAGCACGTATACAGGTTGGATACATTGATAACCCGATGTCCACATCCGTGACTTTCTTCTTCCCCACCGGTCCCGTGCGGGCATTCCCGGTCGAAGCAATGCAAACAGCAATATATGCAGCCGTATTTAATTTGCTTCCGCAAAACACCGGATGCCTGGGTCTCAGTTGCAGGTGCGAGACCAACCAGCAAATCCAGCTCCTTCAGGAATAGAATGACCACCTCAAGCAAAAATCACATGCCTTCGACATCCATCAACCAAATCTTTGACAGTCCAACACTTACATCGCCTCTATTGGAATTTCTTTGGCTGTGAATAGAGGCTTCAGTGCTGGCCACAGCTTGGCCTCTAAAGATGCAGAGCCAAGGAAATCGATGGAAGTACATTCCATGCAACAAGAAAACAAGTACATTGCATTTTTCGGCGCTGTGACTCAGTGCGTGCGTGTATTCGGTTTGTGAGACTTCGAGAGGCATCAAATGACCCCTCTCTTCCCAGCAGCAAAAGCAGACAGCGCAAGCTCGAAATCATCTTCGGTGAGGCCAGATGGAGTGCGCATACATGTAGTACCATGGCATCGTGAAGCAACATCAGCACAATTGTCACTGTAGGTACAGTCGTCAAAGAATATCATCTCATCATAGGGTATGCCAGATTCTTCTTTCAGCTTTGGAAAGTGATGCGCTGCTTTGCCTTAATCCACGACAATACCACGTCATCTATTCTGTGGATTATACCGTCTTTTGAAGTCCAAGCATCTTCCAGGATAGATCTGCTTGAATCGAACCAATTCGTCAATAGTCACAAACTTGCTGCCAGATAGGGGAAAACTCTCAAGGCATTTCTTTGCGAATGCAGGCTCCTTGGTGTGATAAGGTGATGCAGCATGCAAGCACGCTAGGCTGACAGTCACTGCAAAGCTTGCGGGTAGATTGGCAGAAAGAATAGAAGCTATATAAGCAAGTCTCTTAGAGAAAGGGTATCGTATACACAGGATGGGAAGAATCTGAGCATCCGTTGTTGACGATGCCACAGCAATCTGAACTTTTTCAAAGGCAGTGTCAGTTGCCAGCCTGCGCAGGACAGCTTCAGCACCAGGGAAAAGTCGTACCTAGATGCGGTTTCTGGATTTGCTTGAATCATTGCTCCATCAAAGGCTTTAGAACCAGCAGCATGCCTGTTGACTGGTGGTGCGCGGGAAAAAGAACAACATAAAAGCATGGCATGCAGCTCCAATTGAGTGCGAGTCACTGTCTGTGCACCTGCGGCAACTCCACGGCGCTTGCTGCAGTATGAGGATGGAGGTGAGCTCAACTCGTACATTTCTGGTGACCAAAGGCATGCATCCAGATCCTTCGAGGAAAGTGCTTAATGGCAACGACCTAAAGTTAGATCGAATATACTATATATATAAGACATGTTCAAGCATTTCAATGAGCGGAGAGCTTTCCTTGTGCAGTTTAGCGTAGTTGCTCGCGTTACGGGGTTCCCCGAGGCATCCGCGCGGTAAAAACGGTAAAAATCGAAATTTATGTGTTTACCGTTTTTAACGGGGGGCGCTCCCTTTTTCAATACCATATGCGCGGTTAGAACGGTAAAAAGTGATTTTTGTTTTTACCGTTTTTACCGGGGGCAAACGGTCCTATTATTTGTTTACCGTGTTTTAACGGAGGGTCCCTTGTTCTTCTACCATATCCGCGATAAACACGGTAAACATCAAAAGTTTTCAATCAGTGATGTAGGCTTTCATTACCTTGCAAAAGTTAAAAGTCTTTTAAATGTTGATCAAACATCAAACTCCTCTTGTCGAAAAGGGCACACGCTCCTATATGATAGGAGGGATCAACCCCACCAGAATATAGGAAGAGACCAAAGGGCTGTAACATTAAACCTGTTTGTTTACAGAGGTCTTCTAGCTTGCGACCTGTTCCCGAGGCATCCTCGCAGTAAAAACGGTAAAAATTGACAATTACTATTTGTTGTTTACCGTTTTTAACGGAGAGTCGCTTGCTCCCTTTTTCTTCTACCATATCCGCGGTAAAAACGGTAAAAATCAAAGTTGTGTTATTTTCCGCTTTTGCAGGTGGACTCGCTCTTTTCTTTTCTACCATCTCCGCGGCAAAAACGGTAAAAATCAAAAACATTATGTGTTTACCGTTTTTACCGGGGGGCACTCCCGTTTTTAATACCATATCCGCGATAAAAACAACACAAATCAAAATAAACTAAAATGTGTGTTTACCGGTTTTACCGGGGGGGCACTTTTTCTTCTACCGTATCCGCGGCAAGAAACAAACGGTAAAAATCGAAAATGTTCTTTATTTACCGTTTTGACCGGGGGCGCTCCCTTTTTCAATACCATATCCGCGGTAAAAACGGAAAATATCGATTTTAAGATGTTTTTTCTGCGGGGTCGCGAAAGGGTACCCCTTAGCAAAACAACGCTCGCGAACCGGCTTAGAGAGCTTTTGGTGCGCATATAGTCTCAAGATTGTCTGTGACTACCATCAGCTGCAGCAGCTTGGTTGCTTCAGAAATCCAAGAATCAAAAACAATCAGCGAAGGCAACATGGCCCATGTACAGTGCCAGGTGATCAAAGATAGCGCAACTGCAAAGGAGCGACTTCGCCATCGCATCACTGCAGTCACTGCAAAGCTGGGCTCGGGCCAAGAGCAGTCACGAGATATCACGAGTTGCTGAGTCGTTGCGCACTGAACTGAAGAAAGGATGCAAGAACACTTTTCACCGTTGCCTGGAAATGCATCGGATCCGACACTTTATCCTTTTTGAGGATGTTAATGATGATTGGAACCGCTACCTTCCAGTCCAAATACAGAGTCTGATGCAATCAAAATATGATTCCTTCGCTCTGTGCTCTTTGCCAAGTATTGGAGCTTCGAACTTGGCACCCACACCCCATAAAGTGGTGGAAAAAGTAAAGCACCTCAGGGAAGTAGAACTGCGAGATATTTGTCGTTTCGACTGTCACTTGAGGCCAAGCCGCTCAAACGGACAGCAGTTTGTCCAACCTTTTCCTTTGAGCGCCAACAAATGAGGGGCGCGGGCATGGGCACCGTTCCTCTTGAACGGCATCTGTGAGGTGAGACACTTGCAGGTGAAACAGGCAGCCCTCACAATCTTGCGAGGTTACATTGTACTAACGTTCGGGTCCTAGAGTTGATTCTGGCAAAAAATGAAAGTGGGTTCAAGCAAGGTACAGTATATCACAAGAATACTTGGCACATCCTATGATGATATGCACTTGAGAAAGTTGAGAAACCAGCAGCACGTGTGCCCTGTCCTCGTGTCCGCAAGGTCCGAGGGAAATACAAGCCACATCGTACACCTGCATCAGAAAGAATATACGCTTTGAGGACAAGAACACCATCTGTGCAACTGGTTCAAGCCCAACTGCAACGCAACACCGCACCACACCGGCCGCAACGGCAAAAGACTTGTGAAAAAGGCAATGCTCACCTAACAGTTGGTGTAAAGTTGATGTGCTTTGCCACAGTCTTGGGCTACAGACTTCCATGTCTGTCCTTCCTGAAAGTCCGGAACTCCGGAGCTGCACTTCGTCAATTATAAAAGAATATAGAGAAAGGATGTTCTGGCAATAGCGCACCGGCCCAACTTTGGATTATGTATATACTATCATGCCGCTGTTGTTTTTCCGCAATCACTAAGTTCCCTGGCCTTATGTTAAGGCTGACTAGTGGCCACCAAAAGGTCAACGGAGCGAAGACAACCAACCAACACAACTGGCCAGCAATGCTCTGCAAGACAATGTACAATGCTCTGCAAGGCAATGTATTGAAGGCATGCTGTCAATGCTCAATGCAGGAAGGATTCGTCAAGCTCCATCCAACCTTAGTATCCTGCTCCGCAAGTTTGCTAAAATTCCTTAGGAAAGCGCCCTTGCAAAACAAGGTGTAAATGCTGCTCTAAAAAAGAGATCACCTCTCTTGCACGCTGGGACAGAGTGAAGAGAAAAAGCTGCGCAGCTACCTCTTGTATGCAATACTCGAGTGTGCGAAGCCTGGACCATCTTCCTCGCCACTGTACGCGAGCTATATCAGAGCCTTGCGTATACTCATGAGTCGCTCCGGAACCCCTGAGGGTTCCTGGGGTTGCCCCTCGATCACTCTGTCTCCTGGGGATCTCCAACTTGTCCAATAATGCGTTCCACTGACGCCTGAACACAGCAATGGAGGCGGGGAACAACATCGACTCCAACTCATGGTGTTGGAACAAGCAGAAGAGGAGATGAGTCAACGAAGGATCATCAATTCTGACATGTTGTCGCCGTGCAAATCGAGCTGTCTTGGGGTTGCGAATGAAGACGTAAACGGAAGAGGAATCACCCATTAATGCATCCTGCGGGAACACAATGTCACGACGGCGTAAAGCCACCCGAAACCAAGAACAATTGCTCCTGCAAAACAATCCCACTTCCACAACAACGCGAGTCCCAAGATGGCCCTAAAAACAGGCGCACTCAACACTGCTCGGCATTGGCCAGGTTCCTCGATCTGCCACTTGAAGTCGACCTGCCACGCGCCGGAAAACTGTCTGCGAAACTCTGGCTTCACTTGTTGAATGGCTGTAATGGCGTACACCAAGAGATATCGGGGCTTGCCTTCCCTAAATAAAGACAATCCGCAGCCACGAAGTGCAAGGTTTGTGGTGTCTGCTTGTGAAAGAACTTCTTCAAGAGTCAAACCTACAACCTTGACGCACCAGGCAGCAAACAACTCGAGGCATCGCCTCATTCTCAAGGAGGTCGCCCGCGCAAACCCGCCCATCAAGTCCAACTCACCCCGAGGTGTGTATGGTCTTTGAGAACTGTCCAAGGGACCTGGATGCCGCTCGACGTCTCCAGCAATCAACAAAAGAAGCCTCACCCAGCGCCCCAAGGGGCGCGTCCAGAGAGCAGACCTAAAACGCAAATCAAAAGCTCGGAAGTCACCGGACTTCAGATCTGTAATCCAGCGCTCTTCAGGCCGAGTCGGGCCTGGCACTGGTTGGTCTCTTGAAGGCCCATCGGCACGGTTCCAAGCCGAACGGCAATGTAAAGCTCCAGGGTAGAGGCCTCCACCGAGGACGTACCCGAGAGAGGACTTCAAGATCCTGCTCAACGCGCGAGAACTGCTCCGCCCTTTCGCTGCAGCCCCCATAGTCACGCGACTATCAAGCAGTCCAACCAATCTAGATCGAGGGCGCGCTTTTGCACAGTGCTTTAACCAAGATTTGTAAACTCTGCACTCCAAACAATTGATGTGGCCCCTTTGGTGGAACTTATATCGAAACAGCTCTCGGAAGGTCACCGTCTCGCAAATATCTTCGATCCACTCTGGGTCTTCGCGCCATGGTCTCAGGCCGTCCGTACCTCCATCAACCGGAGCGGATGGAGGCATCTGAACAGCTTCACCTTCTCCAGAAACCTTGTGTGCCACTGCACTGCCTGCAGCCATGATGCGACAGAGAGGCAAAGGGTAGGATGCTGAGAAGCTGCTCACAGGTTCGCCAACACGAGGCTCACGACCATACACTTCAACAATGTTTGGCTTGCACCTGCTACGAAACAAATCCAAAGCTGCCCTTGTAAAAGAACCTTGCACTGTGAAATGCCTGTTTTTGTATGCACATGAACAAGGACCTTCTAAAGCAACGTACCAAGGTTTGTTGTGCAGCCACTTACTGAGTTTCTGAAAACCTGCACCGTAGCTGCAAAAACTGAACTTTGTGATCCAGCACCCCAACTCAACCAACACCCTAAAGGCGTGAAGTTCGAACATAACTGAGCCACCGGGTTGCTCGCATGAAATGAAGCTTCCACTTTTCAATGCCAACATTAGAAGAAATGCTGTACGCACTGCAAGCAAGGTCTGTTCGCAGGTCACGGGGTCACGCGTGTTGAACCCTTCCGGTTGCTGCTTTGATCGCAGTCTGGGGTGCCGAAGCGTCCCAAAAGACCAACATGGTGGACCGGCATGCCACTCTCGGATATGCCCGTTGTAAGCCAACCGACTCAAAGCAAGAAAGGTCTGTTTGTCAGACAGGTCGCCATATGCTTCCCCTGTAGCTGAGCGTTCAACTCCAGGTGGACTCTTAGTCCGGCTTCTGCATGACATCGCGACCAGTTTCCATACCCAGAAAACAGTTCTATGCAGTCGTACAGGATGGTGCTGTCCCGCAAAGAAGTACTTGGTCCAACTTTGCTCGAAGGAAAAATGCTCTGCTCAACGCTCTGCTCGTGCCCACACGATGGCTCCGGTTCAAATCCCAACTCTTGGAGAGCCATACTGGCCCCTTGTTGAAGCTTTGTGTAATAGCCTCTTTGCTCTGTATGCCGCCACAGCTCTGCTGTCGCCTGACTTGGCATCTCGGCCTTGCAGATACCCCCTCCAAACGGTGAAGCGTCAAGCATGTACACCGCCGGTGCTGCAGCAGCTCTCAAGTCCGACTGCATCACAGGCGCCAACAGGACCATCAGAAGCAATTCCGTCATGGTGGAGGAAGACATCTTAAACAGAACATCATTGTCCAAATTCTCACCCTCATGATAGACCTTGTCAAAAATTGCAAATACAGGCCTCCTGAACAAGCAAACATGGGTCCAACAACCTATGAGCCCCTGTAACAGTCTGCGAATAATGATGCCCTTCTTTATAATGACACTTGTGATGAAACACAAAGCTGCTACGCGAGCTCTTGGAGCCGAGAACCTCAGCCTCCAAGACCGTGGCGTGTTCAACCTGCCTCTGTCGTTTGCCAGGGTGAGCGGTCAATTGAACCTCCTTGTAAGCCCGTTCAGAGGCAGCGAACACTTCATGAGCTCGGGTTTGACAAAGTTCTTCCGGGGGTTGGCCACGCTTGACACGCTGGAGGCCTATATGGTCGTCTATCGTGAGCAACTCATAAAAAGGGCCTCTAGGACAAGGGAGCCTATACTGCAAAACTTCATCACCCTTCATGCTTCCTGCTAGTGTGCGCAGAAGATTGAAATGGCTCTGCTGGGCAATCTCAACAGCTAAAGCGTCACCCATTGCCAATGTCCCCAAACAAATATAGCACTGCGAATCCCTTAGGGCAGGGTCAAACCATTTCAAGTGCTGGAGCTCACTGCCATGAAAAACTAGTCCAATGGCGTTCCGCTGAGCTCTTCGTGCACTGACCTTGAAAGTGTAGTAAAACTCGCATAAATCATCTGAGGAAATAAGCAAGTTCTCATCGGGGTGTAACTGGATAGAAGCAATCAAATAACCTGGTGCAAGAGTCTTGGTGTAGGAGGAGTACCCGTAACACCTGGAGTTGATCACGGTGGGGTTCAGTTTGAGGCGATCCCACTCTGCATCCTTGGGGACACAAAACAGTCCAACGGTCTCTATGGGTGCGACTTGTGAAGCGGCCACGACTCTGCAAGCACCCCGTTCATCCCACTTTTCACCAGCTCCAAAATATCCGTCTTGGCTGCGCGCACGATTGCTCGTGGAAGCTTCGGCCACTGCTGCTTTGGACGTCGAAGCGTGTCAGGGTTCTGGAACGCTTCTCTGACTATGGGATCACTGAGAAAAGGACTGGGGTCGAAAGTGGGTGCAAGCTTTCATTTTATACGGGAGGCGTGAACCGGAAGAACCAACAGGAACCCTGACAGCAGGC